ATCCCACCATAAGTGGCTATCACCAGTAACCAAACTCCAAGTTCAACATTGCTAGTTTTCCAGTCAGGTCACTTACCAATTACTAAAGGCCATCGGCCTGACCAATAACAATTTAATTCAATGCCAAAGAGCCCAAAATATATCCTATAACACAAAGTTCCCCTCCGGAAAAAAAAAAAAAAAAATCCCATTTTGCATCAGTTGGTGAGGACTGAAAATGCACAAATCATTCTGTTTAACTTGGGTGATTTCAATCTTATTTGTTTGTTACTTGAAGTGAAGGGAGAAACAGTTTACTTCAAAACTTATAAAAATTAAAAAAAAATCCTGTGTGGTTGTGAATCAATATGACAAGTTTCATCCCAAAACTAACTCTTCATATTGTATGTTGTCATATCATCAAAAAGTCTATCATGGACATGTACTTGGTGCAATGGAAATCCTTTGAAGCTGTTTTGATAAATCCACTACCATAAGACTTCCTCTCACAAATGTAAAATATATAAACAGTGTTACAAAAATCTTATATATAAAATTGATAATTCAAAGTATTTTCTTATGCTTGTCACAATAATAACAAATTATGTCATTTTGTAGCTATAGTTGCCTTGACATTTTCCTACTGTAGGTTATAACTTTATAGCCACTCAGTATTAAAACAGGATATATGAGTAAACAAGGATAAACTTGCACTTTAGAAAGGATATGGAATATGATAGAAAAAAATCTCCTCTATTCTTTTTTCCTAAAATCTCATCAGATTCCTCCATCTTACAACTGCATTACGGCCCTAAAATCCACAAATCATTCTTTCTTTTTGTATTCATATATTTTAAAATTTCTAAAATAATTGAATGGTCTTCATTAAAAGATGTATATCAATGCTAAACAAAATCCATACATGTTTTACTTAACTATGAACAATGTTACCTGATATGAAAGAGTGATTGTTCAAACACTGGATCCAATATATGGCCCTCTGTGACAGGGGAAGACTTCCATCAAGGCCCAAACTTCTTAGTGGGGCTACTCAATCCTAAATCAACAGTGTTCTCATATTAATGAACACATGCGGTTTTAATACAGGATTACCATTCTCAACAAAACGGAGTTTGAGAGAGATACATCGGCTTTTCAAATTTTTTTGCTTTTGAAGACCATTATACATTTTTAAGAGACTAGTAGAGATATGATTACATGCGGCTAGTAGCTGATTCCATCTAACGATAATTGCGTTTATATAAAGTAAAAAACACATAGTAGCTGGATTTTCAAGGTGCAAATGGAGAATTGGTTTTATATTACACCTGTATCATGTAGGCATCCTACCAATACTCAGATACACGTACATAAAAATTCCTGTATCCACCCATCTTTTTGGATTATTTAACATACATTTCTAGGAAACCATTTATAACCTTCCTTACATTGTGATTTTTAGTTATTAGATTTTAAAGCATTCCAACTATCATAGGATTGCCAGATAAAAAAAAAAAACTAACAATCAACAACAACCTGCTCCCCATCCCCCTCCAGCTGCCACTTCTCAAGACAGTTCAGCTATTAAGGAAATGTCTTCTGTATCAAACAGACTTGAACGCAGCATTATCATTTAGCTACAGTAATTAACCTTGTCATTTGGCCAATCTTGTCTCTAAAAGTCTCCGAATTTTTCATCAGTTACTGGAAAAAAAAGAAAATTTAAAGGAACATGTATTCCTGAAATACTGCTCGCAGTGTTCAATAGGCATCTGTGCCAGCAGCGAATGCACATGCCATAATTAAATCAGGCAGCAACAAAGCAGGTGGATTATATGCTTGCTGTCATTTAAAGCATTTTCTTTGTATTGACAGAAAATTTTCTAATAAGAAAAACCACAAAATCAAAAAAACCCAAACATTTTTCCATCTATAAATCCTGTTCTTTTTTCCTTACATCCTTTAACTCACAAATCAAATAATATTATAAATCATGTAAAATTTGGAAAATTACTTTAAACCCCAGGCTTCACATTGAACTATCATCTGAAGAAAAATTTCAGGTTGTTTATTCAGAGAACTAGAAGGTATTTTTGCCATCGTTGTTGATCTTGTAAAATATTTTATGTGAAATAAGGCAGAATAAACACATCTAGTCAAACTGTATATGAAACTCCACTTTTTCTTGGAAACTTCTTCCTCACTTGCCTTTCTCATCAACTCAGTAGTTTTCCATAGCAAACACAGTCCTGGGCCTACTTATGTCAGTGGCTTTTGTGCCATTAATTTCAATGGAAGCAGGATGTGGTCCAGTAAATTTTCCCCCAGCATGATCTGCTCAGCATTACATTAGACCATGGAAATAGTGAAAAGAAAGCTCCTTATGAATTTAACTCTTTCATTCTTGTGCTTACAATGTAAGTGACTGCTACTTTTTTTCAGTGTTCTAAAGGTTTCTCAAATTATCTGAAAGGTGCTCTCAGTAGACAAGCCTTCTAAGGCAATATAGTCATCAATAAACCCTTTACAGATATGCTAAATATTGAGGACAACCACCAATAATCCATTAAAGTTAATTAGGCATAATTGTAAAGAATTTATTGATGACCGGTGCATGAGTCATTTTAATATTGCCTATAAACTCTTTGGACTACCTGAAAAAGGTAATATTGCTGGATTTTGAGGACTATAGTTGAGCTCCTAGAAAACAAATCCAGTAGAAAAGTTCTTACATGTGGCCTGTAACTTTTTTCTCCTTAGTGTTGTTATTCCTCTACTTTGAATGAAGTCCTATGGTCGTTAGTGTCCTACTTCTCATCTTCTGTGACTATTATCCCAGAAGCTTTCCAAAGTCAACACACTATTTTCTAGGATCTATAACACTTTCCCAAGACCAAGTTTACTAGTCAGCTAAAATGGAGTAATCCTTTCTTTTTTTTTTTTTTTGTCATGAAATGCCAGTGTCCGGGAGCAAACTGGGATTGCAAAAGGTCCAAACAGACACACATAAATGATATTCAAAGAAGTGGACCTTGTCATCAAGATTTGTCAAGTGTCCTGGGGCCTGGTCTCTGCAATGCCACATGCTAAACTGGATTTTTCATATTCTCATGCTTTGCTTTTGAACTTGTATCAACACCATATTTTTTTCTCCCTGTCATAATTCCACTTAAACTAATTTGGTTTTACTTTGGCATTCTTTAATATCCAAATCATACACCTTCTCTGCTGTATTCTCATGAATACCAAAGCTGTAGAATAAATATTGTTGACATGTGTTGGCAAAGTGCTTTTAGACTTGGATTCCTCATTAAATTACATTCAATTTTAGTTATAATGAGCATAATCCGTTTGATACTGTTGACCCAAATTCCCCTGAGGAAAGCTGCAGTTCTGAATTGATATTTGCATCTCTGAGTCGACTGAATAAAATTCCAAATCACGTCAGACTTCAAATCTGAAAAATGTCCTGTTCCAGGGTTATGCTGGGGGTTGTGACTAAGTTATATTGCAGAAATGTATTCCTGCAATGCTTTACAGCTCTTGGTGTACTTTAATCTTGCCTCTGCCCTAGCTTACATGACACTTTACTTATCTGTACCCTGTCTCTGTAAACACCTTATGAGAACACTGACCATCAGGAAGCAGAAGCGCTTTTTTGAAACTCATCCTTGGGCGTCTTTTCTGAAATCATATTTCTTCTCCCTGTCACGCTCCTTAATCGTTCCTCTTCTGCAATAAATTGTTATTTCTCTCCCTGTTAGAATTCTTTCCTGTCATTCATCATGTTATGAGTACCTTTTGCTTGCGAACAGGAACAAAATCCCAGCAGACTTCAGGAAGCCTTTAACTCTTTTCCTTTCTCACAATGTAGAAAATGGAGAACTCCACTCAAAGTGTCGTCTTCTTTGGGAGACTTTCATTGATTTGTTAGTTTCAGAATTTCGGGGTGCTTTGGGAGAAATGGGCTATTTGGAAACATGGAATTATCAGCATTGTGAGTATTACTCTCAGTTTGATAAGTAGAGTGTCTGGATAAAGAAGCTTTTAAATTTTTTCAAGTTTTGTCTGAAAATTATTTCATAGACAACAGGGACCTGGAAGACTCTGGAGAGGAAACAGTTTTATTGAGTCATTGCAGAAAATCAACTATACAATTCAAAGCATAAGTTTATGATTTCATTTGATCAAGCTAGCTGGATTCCCATACTCACAATGATAGCACATGCAGAGGCTCTGCAGAGATGAAGCAGTCTTAAAACTGGTGTATATAGTTCCTTTATCATGTATCACTAGAGACATGGGATTAGCCCTGTAAAATAGATCATGTAAATATGCAGGTATAAAAATGATGACTTGCACAGCAATTTCTAAGAGGTAAAGATCCAAGCCATGAATCTTGCTCGTCTGTTAAGATCTTTGGGATAACTAAGGAAAAACAATATACTTGAACACTCAGGTCAGTCAGCAGGACAAACTTTCTAAGTTTTTTGTCTGGGACTGATGAGAAATACCACAGAAGGTCTTCAAAAACAGGCCAGAAAAAAGCCTGTCAGTTCAGCTATATTGATCCTGCTTTGGTGTTAGAGAACAAAGTGGGTGACTTCTTGATATCCTTTTGAGCTCTGTTTTCTATGATTCTGAATTCTCAGATGCATCTTCGGGGTGACTCTCTACCTGTAGATTTTTGGGTAGCAAAAATTTTATCAAATACAACACGGCAGAACATGTACTGGTCTCAATCCTTTATTCCAAGTGAATATCCAATTAAACCATTCACTTAAGTATCCTGCTGGTTTTCTGATTTGTTGACTCACGCAGGATGAGGGCAGAAGAGTGCTGCTGAACACCTGATTACATCCCTGGCAATGGGAAAACTATATAGACAAACACCAAGACTGCCAGCTCAGCATTCAAAACTTCTGTAAATAGAATACCAGAGGCCAAATTAAGCTCTTACTTTACTGTTTTCTTCAACTGGCAAATGCAAATATATTTCTCCATAATTTATGTCTTGACAGATGATAATGAATGTGAAAATGCTACTCAGCCTTGTGGAGAGCATGCCAATTGCACAAACACTGTGGGAAGTTATTTCTGCATGTGTGTGCCTGGTTTCAAATCCAGCAATGGTCAACAAACTTTTGTACCTAATGACGGAACCTCCTGCGTGGGTAAGTTATTAACGTCTGCCAGCCAGCTTTACATTGTCACTCTTCTCTTATTGCTTCTTTTAATTACAGAAATCCAGCAAAATGCTTTCAGAAGTTTGGAGCCTGGATATAAAATTCCCATTATTTGGACTGGTACAGTCTTAATGTTTCAGTTCAGGCTCACACTTCTCACCAACAACATAGTGGCTGCCATCTCTTTTAGTAGCACTTCAATTTTGACTCTTCTTGCAATATTTTTAATCCACATGCCACAGTTTTAGACAATGAATACATAGTTAGGGTAACACAGAAATCCCCAATCTACCTATTTATGACACTGTTTCACTGATCTGTGAACAAGGTGGTCATATTCTTAAAATGAAGCAGAGTGACAAAGTACTCTGCATTCAGGTCGCTCTGGACCAGCAAAATTCCCTATACTTTTAACCTACTATGCTCCAAATATCTTTTGTTTAGGGGCTTTGGCTGGAGTATTTTTGATAATTCTTCAAATCTGATCAAAAGCAATGAGTAAGATCGGTAGTTATCCTACCTCCTGTGCCATCCATCAGCCTCTCTTTCTGTAGCAGTTGGATGGAACATGTTCAAGATTACAGGGGAGGAAAAGTTCTCTGAAAAAATGTTATTTCTGAAAAACTATGCAATCCTTTAGGATTTCCTTTGAATGGAAGAACTGTTACTATTTCTCTTTTTTCAAACTCTGGGTAATCTTCTCTGTATGTTGCAACAGTCCTCAGGGAATGGGAAAATGAGAAATAAATCTATTACCCTTTACACCTTTGTGCTGACTGTGTCTCATTCTAGATATGTCTCCTGTGAGCTTGTGAGTGCTGACAACCTCTCTTCTTACTGCTCTTAATATCAGCAGAATGGCTGCATATTAAGCCAGAAAGTGATCTAATCAACATTTCTTGCCCATTGCTCATATCCATTGAAAAGAGCTCTACTTTATCCAGCTGGTATGAATCGTTCTTAAATTAGCTGGGATTGAGATTGTTAGCACATTCAGCTGTAAATATGCTCGCTGTTTCTGGTCCAGGCTTTGATTTTCACGTTATGACATTTCCTCAGCTTCAGTTTTGTCTTCAAAGTTATTTCTCTGACTGTTCTTATGTCACTTTAGCTTTTTACTGTTGGCTTGCTAATTTCTTTTTTTTTTTCTTTTTTTCCTTCTCTTCTTTACTGGCAGATTGATCTTTTTTTATCCTCTACTGGGTGTTAGTTTACCACTTTTCTTCTCCTTTTTGCAAATCCATACAAGAGGAGCTGAGAGCTTCCAAAACTCACACTGAAATAAAAAATTACCTGTGGGCACCTTTTCTCATTAAACAAGTGTACCAATTACTTTACCAAGCAGTAAGTCCTAAAGACAACCTTTTGATCCACAATTAATTTTCTACTTTATCCGTCAGGGAAACCATAATAGGATATCTTGTACCCGATGGGTCTGCTACTACAGGTGGTAGATACGACTTGCACACAAGCAGCTGAAAGTAGTGTGTTCAGAGTGTACTATGCACAGCTGCAGCAAACACCGAAGGTCTTGTTATAAATACAGTGCAAGTTATCCAGTACAAATTGGAGGACAGAGTTATCAATATCCATCCTACCAAAGATTATAAGGCCCCAAAATATTTTGAAATTCTCCCAAGTCTTAAGTTTTCTTTATACATGTATGATGTACATGACAGTAACTTTAAAAATACAGTGGTTGAATTTTGGAGAGTATGCCATTATACAAACCATCAAACCTACCTGGAGTTCCCAGTAGTGAAAGTGTGGTACATCACTGCGTGTGTGTTAGTTCATTTGAAAGTCCATGTGCATTTGGATGTGTGTTCTTCCCCTCTTTGGAAACTCTACTAAACTTCTGAATACAAAGTAATTATAACTCTCAAGGTAGTGAATCAAAAGAAAACTTGGAACAACGGTGTTGGGAAATGTCAGTTCACCCTTAATCCAACCAGAATGTTGAGTTTTGAGTTGACAGTCAGTATTTCATTCATATTATCAGATAGAATGGTGAAGAGATGAAAATGAAACATGTAGTTAGAGGAGGAACTGGAAGGGTAGGAAGGAAAAGAGGAGGAGAAAGGAAATGGAGAAGAAAAAAAGAGGAATGCAGCAATGTGATATTTCTGAAGATGAAATTTTTCTGCTGTCCTGAGTATAAGCAATTAAAACCTATTTACTGTGTAAAACCCATGCTTTTTCCTTAGACTTCCCTTTTTACTGAATGTTTGACTCTAGATAAAAAGGTGAAATATAAACCTGCTTTTTTCACAGCAGTGAACAGAGTGAAAACATGAAAATGCCCATCTTTAGAATGAAAGTGACATCCATACCATGCTGCCTTTTTCAGGAACATGCTATTTCTTCAGCTTTTTCTCAGCTGCTTGAGAGTACTCTGAAGATGTCCATTCTCCATCACATCCTTTTCTGTGACAGGGCAGTGGTACAGTGGATGGGATATGGCATTATGCCGCATTGCTAACTGTTTTTTCACCTGTGTCATTCGTAGGCTTTTTCATTTCTATTTTGTGTGTGCTGCTATCTTCCACAGTATGGAGACACAAGGAGGGAACATCTAGTCCTTTGCAATTCGTCTTTTCAAACACTTGCAAGCTACTAATAAGCAGAAGGTATAATGTAGACATCAAGCTGTCTTGACTGACTGGTGAAGAATCAAAGCGATGTAGGTACAATCCAGTAATTGGCAAGACTGAACATAATAACTGCTCTCAGTACTTTTCATTTAATTGGAATTTCCTTGCCTGCTGCAGTAAATGAGGAGTGACAAAACATAGAAATAAAATAAAAGGTTATAAATCTATTTTCACACTAGCCTAAGTGGTGTTGGTGATATTATTTTTCTGATCAGAGCTATTATAAAAGCTTCAAAGTTCAGCTCCAGGATTTGTTTTGAATATTTACTAAAAGGCCAGGGCTTTTTGCAGAGCTATGGCAAATGCTCTTCTGTTTAAAAAGCTGCTGTTCTTCAACCTTTGCTCAGGAATGTTGTCTGTGAAGACTGCTCACGCAAGCCTTGGCAGCCCAGTCTTGCTCCCATAGTAGATCAAGGAGGACGGTTTGAGAACCTCACCCCAAAGCTCCAGTGAAACTGGATTGCTGAAAGCACTGACAAGCTGTTGTCCATGTGTGGTCCAACAATTGCGTATTCAGTTAAAAAGGCATAACTACAAAATACAAAGAAACAAAAACCTACAGCTACTGCACAAAGTATTTCAAAGCAGGAACTTAAAAGCAGCGCTCTCGCTACTGTCACAAATTGTTGGCTGCCCCTGACAATCTCATTGATTTAAAAGGGATACGAAGCTGATGAGTACCTTGCAAGATCAGGCATATTGCCTTTTAATTTTGTCATCCAGGAGATTTTATTTATCCAGGAAACAGTAAATTAGATAGGCGCAATATGGACTCATTCCATATAGATAACTCAACTGTAGAAAGTCTATTTGCATATACTCAACAGGGTGTCTCTATCAGACTTTAAATAGCCATCCTGTTGCCAGAGATGTACCTTAGTGCTTAAGTTTCTGCTGTTGTTTTGGATAATCTTGACTTTTCATTAAAATCTCCGTTACACGTAATATCTGACATAATTACAAGAAGAAGAATAATTTGTATGTCTGCCCAATAATGACAAACTAGTGATTTACCGAACTAAATGTTCATGAAAAGCAAAAGATCGTAATAATTTTGAAATATTTTCATCAGTAAATCAATCACATGAAAACCTGATGCTTAGCAATAATAGTCTGGGAAGTATTCAAATATTTATTTATGTATGTATAAGTCATTGTAAGTTTTAGCAAAGCTTGTCGTTGTTTACTAGTGGTTTAGCACTGTGTTACATGCTGAATATCTTGTTAAGATGTACATGCCCTTCTCTGTGTAGCTGACAAGGCCAACAAAATCTTTGGTTATGAGGCTGATGTGTGTTCTTGTTATACAAACAGATATTGTCATGGTTTTCACCCTTGTCACTTCAATTCATGCAAAGTTTGTCTGTCTTACACAGAGTCACACAACAGGTCACTGACAGGCACCCACTTGTTTCAAAAAGAGCTTTAAAATTTACTGATGTGAGAGGTTATTTAAATGCCAAGAGTAAGAACTTTAGCCTTATGTCTTTAAATTACAGCATTTAATTATGAAGTAGCCTGTGTGTAGCACTGTATCATGCTTTTTTCCCCTCTTTTCTTTGCTTTTACCAGATTCATTGATGTATAACCTGGCTCCATGACTATAAATACTGAGGTCACAGAAACGGGATAATAAAAATCTCAGTTCATCAAAGAGAAACATTTGCAGTTTGGGGCATTAAATATGGAAAAAAAATAATGTCCTAATGCAGATAATTATAATTCAACCTCATACTTTAAACTTCAGTGCTTACATCAACCCATTCAAACACAGAGCTTCATTGGCGACTCTCCCTGAAGAGCAGGGGTTGGACACATGCGCCTCCAGCCCTCCTTCCTTGTGCCATGGCTCCTTACGCCATGCAGGAGACTGGATGGCTTTTCAATGGGAACTCCTGAACTTTGGGCTTAAAACACGGTATTTCAGGTGCAAATCAGAGCCGCTGTTCACTGAGGAAAATAGGGATATGACAGTGAAGTGGGACCTTGGCTGTCTTCCTGAACCCCAGGAAGACCTCTAGGAGTATGAGCAGAGGAAAGGGAGCTGGGGAATTAAACACAAAACAACAAAAAATGTGTGGTATATAAACTATTGGGATACTATATTAAAAGTTTACATGCATTTTACAGTTGCTTCGTAGTTAAAAAAAAAAAAAAAGCATTCATCTGATTATTTATGGAGGCTTTCTTGCCATTAGTGAAGAATGTTGCATGAAGTTACCAGAAAAGCTGTCCAAATAGGCAGATGGTCCCCAGGTATCCTTCAGATATCTTGCTGCGTTCCCCAGATATATCCATAGACATGCAGTACATTTTTCTGTTCTTCCACAATTTCTGTTTCTCTACCAACCTTATTTTGCATACATTATTGCTCATTTTTGTTCTACTCTTTTTTAAGAACCACCAACAACCTTGTATCAAAATAAGAGTGCAAAAATTGTTCCTATGTGCTAATAGTGCATTTCCAGCCCGCTATATGTGCTTTCTGTTTGTCTGTTCTTAACACCCATCTGGCTGTACAAAGGTCTCCTATCAATTCAGGTAGCTATTCTCCTCCACTAATCAGTTAATCAATTCTCATTTTTCACCAATTTCTTTCCCAAATTCAGCGTCATGCCAGTTCTTAACTTAGTTGTCTTCCTCCCTGGTTCATCCGTTCCCCTCTCTACCTTTACTTTCCTTCAGTTCAGTTCCCAGGCTGTTCCTTTAAATCTGCTCATGTAACACTTCCTCATTTTTCAACTCTTTTGGTCAGATATACCTGTCCTAAAACTGTTCACTTTTTTTTTCCTTTTCAGCACAGCACTGAGTTCATTACTTTATTTTTCAGAATTATTTGATATTGTTCCCAGTTTACTTTCTCTGTTGAATTATTTCGTCTTTATCCTCAGCCAATCAAATAATGCAAAATAATCCTTACTCCAGCCAGGGACTGAGTGCTCAGCTCTCCTGAATTGATCAATTCATGGATTCCCTTACTGGAATTCATCGGTTTTACTCTTGGACTGTGCCCCACCCAGTTACTGAACCTGTCTACCTAATGGCAAATTATTTAGAAGCACAAAAGCCGTTTTAGGCAAACGTAATTTAAATGTGGATTAAAAAAAAAGGCATGCCAAGCACTTTAAAGGGCACAGAGCTTAAATCTTAGATTAATGAGATGGATAGAGAGATCTTTTGTAGCATCTTTTTAAAGCCGTGACTTAAAAGAAAAGGCTGCAGTTTTCTTTCTCTTTCTAACTGAATCATAAGGCTGAGAAAATCCATTTAGTCTAATCTCTGGAAAACGGATTTCAGATTATTTGCATCATGCCGAGCATTTTGTTATGATAAAACTAGTATTTACATTCATGGTTTTAAAACATGAACATTGCAGTATTACATAGAAATAAAAGTGGTAGTATAAAAATATGATCAATTATGATTTATCCTTCTAATACCTAAATATTATAATTGGCAGGTGTTTCACCCTTAAGTTTGCCTTTCTAGTTTTTGACTTTTTTTTATTCCATGAAATTTTATTATGAAACTGCTTGCAGTGTGCAGGGCTATTATCAACAAAGCAGCAAGGTGTTAGTCTGTAAATACTTAATAAAAAATTCAATTTCTCACAATATTTGCAGATGTAGATGAGTGCAGCAATGAAGGAACTGTTGCCTGTGGAGATCATGCAAAATGTGAAAACGTGGATGGAGGGTTTAACTGCTCCTGTAAGGAAGGTTATCAACCATCCACAGGAAAATTGCAGTTTAAGCCAAATGATGGCACTTCCTGCCAAGGTACATGATATTATAAAGGTTTATGTGTTATTACAGAGCTACATCTTCTGAGAAACTCACCAGTGCCTCTTTATCTTCAGTTAGATTAATCAGCGAGACATCAAAAAGAGGCAAGGCAGTGACATCTACATTTCCTGAGAATAGAATCATTTCATAAATGTATTTTTGCTAAACAGTGTGATGAAATCCATTTGAAATAATGGGTACCTCCTTATAGTTGTCAGATTTGTACTCCTCTCTGTAAATTTGAACTGTCTCTTAACTTCACCTGTGGAAGACCCAAGGAAAGGGGCCAAACTCTTTATCTGAGTAAAAAAAAAAAGCTCAGAGTCCAATCCAATACTGCAACTTTGGCCAAGATAAAGTCTTAGAGATTGACATTTGAGAATGGAGTGCTGTGTCTTATATGCATTAATTCAGGATGCTGATGGTTTGGGGAATTGCTTAGACAAGGGCTCTTACAATGGGTATATATTGAGTATTGATTAAACTGCAATAAGTAATTAGTTTCTTTCTAATTTCTACAGAAAATCTGAAGGCCAAGTGTGAGTTATACAAAGACTGTATAACTGAACATATTAACAGAACTTTAGCTGGAGTAAGTAGCATTGGTTTATAGATTAATTTCCAAATCCTTTAATTGTTTCTGTTTGAAACTGTTCGAAAGCATTTGATACCGTCCCACACGACATCCTTGTCTCTAAACTGGAAAGACATGGTTTTGATGGATGGACCACTCAGTGGATAAGGAATTGGCTGGATGGTCGTACTCAAAGAGTTGTGGTCAATGGTTCAATGTCCAAGTGGAGGCCAGTGACGAGTGGTGTTCCTCAGGGGTCAGTACTGGGGCCAGTACTATTTAACATCTTTGTTGGTGACATGGACAGTGGGATCGAGTGCACCTTCAGCAAGTTTGCAGATGACACCAAGTTGCGTGATGTGGTGGACACACTGGAGGGAAGGGATGCCATCCAGAGGGACCTTGACAGGCTGGAGAGGTGGGCCTGTGAGAACCTCATGAAGTTCAACAAGGCCAAGTGCAAGGTCCTGCACGTGGGTCGGGGCAATCCCAAGCACAAGCACAGGCTGGGTGGAGAATGGATTGAGAGCAGCCCTGAGGAAAAGGACTTAGGAGTGCTGGTGGATGAGAAGCTCAACATGAGCCGGCAATGTGCGCTGGCAGCCCAGAAAGCCAACCGTATCCTGGGCTGCATCAAATGAAGCGTGGACAGCAGGTCGCGGGAGGTGATTCTGCCCCTCTGCTCTGCTCTCGTGAGACCCCACCTGGAATACTGCCTTCAGCTCTGGAGTCCCCAACACAAGAAGGACATGGAGCTACTGGAGCGGGTCCAGAGGAGGGCCACGAAGATGATCAGAGGGCTGGAGCACCTCTGCTATGAAGACAGGCTGAGGGAGTTGGGGCTGTTCAGCGTGGAGAAGAGAAGGCTCCGGGGTGATCTTATAGTAGCTTTCCAGTACTTAAAGGGGGCCTACAGGAAAGCTGGAGAGGGACTTTTTAGAAGGACATGTAGTGATAGGACAAGGGGCAACGACTTTAAATTGAAAGACGGCAGATTTAGATTAGATATAAGGAAGAAATTTTTCACTCAGAAGGTGGTGAGGCACTGGAACAGATTGCCCAGAGAGGTTGTAGATGCCCCATCCCTGGAAGTGTTCAAGGCCAGGTTGGACGCGGCTTTGGGCAACCTGGTGCAGTGGAGAGTTTCCCTGCCCATGGCAGGGGGGTTGGAACTAGATGCATCATCTCTGAGGTCCCTTCCAACCCTAACCATTCTATGATTCTATGTTATTTTGATTATAATAGTTCTTAAGGAGCTTTTAACAAATGTTTGAAGCATACAATTGAATTTAAGCATGTTTACAGAAGTCTTTTTAATAATTTCAAATTATTTGAACTGGGTTGTATGTTCAAATCATGATAATAACTGTGTTCTGTTTCCAGCAAAGTGAGTCATGATGCATGAAAAATTCAGAAGTGTGGTAATCACTGAACTGTTTCTGTGATTTCTAAAGTTACACATTGCTGCATTTACTGATGTGCAATTATTTGCTCATTCAGAGTGAAAGGCAGCAAGATAGCTTACGAAAGTAACGTCAACAAGTGACAAAATAGAAAATGGAGCAATAACATCCTGGTATGCTAGTATATTTACTCCTCAAAGCATAATATGTAAAGTGATGCAGAATTTGTAGACTCAAAAACTCTAGACTCCAGACTTTTTTTCACCAGAAGCAGAGATTCCTGAAGTAAATTTAAAAAATATATTAATGAATTCATTAGTCTACAGCTATGGTATTGCTTAATTTGAAGGGATAAAAGAAAAATAAGCATAAATAAGTTAAAACTAATTGTATATGTTTGTGTTTTATACTATGCAGCTTGCCAATGTTATGAGATTCAGAAAGATATTAACGTAAAGACTTTTATTTACTTAGTGTAAGATATACACTGTATTAATATGCTCTCTATGTTAACCTGCAATGAAATACATTATATTAAATATAATACATGCTTATCACATTTACCTGCAAAGACATGGTAAATGCCACAGCAGAACCTTAGAGTGAGATTTTTTTTTTTAAATATGTAGTCAAACTAAACTTAAATCAAAGCAAGAAGCCAAAATACCCCAATTTTATGTAAATAACAGCATGTCATATTTTAGCCTAGTTTTCAGCCTGCGTTCTGGTTCTATTCTGCTGCAGTCAGAAACGAAGCAAGCCCCGTACAAGCTGTTCAGCAGCAGAGACTACAGATCTTACAAAATCAGGTGTTGGGGTTTTTTTTTATGTATAAAATCTCTATAGATTTCAGTATCGTGAAGTAAGAATTCTTTCCTTATTCAGCCATGGGTCTGAAACTTGCAATCTTAATCTTCATCTCACCCTTTCTAGCCTATTACTTTTTAAAATAGCTGCTTTCTCTAAGTGCATTTAGCAGTTCATAAACTGAAGCAGAGAAGGTGAAATAGGCAGTACAGTTTCACAGAACTACCTGCTTTATAATCTGCATTTGAAAAGAAAGCAACCACAAAATATACAAATACTGCCCATCTGCTCCCACCTCTTCAGCTAAAATTTAACAGAAAAGTCAGCAGAGTAACCATGTCACAGATACTTAATTATTTTTGCAGAGAAATTACTAATTCTTCTAATTCTTTTTGGAGCATTAGGATAAAGAGAAGTGAGTTGCAGCAGTAAAAAAAAAAAAGTGTAATGATAGCATGTGACTTTTTTTTAATCATAGTTGCTTGTTAGGGTTATACCAGACATGTGTAACACCATTACTTTACAGGTCAACCTGTTGATTTAAACAGTGTCTCTTTTCATGCACAACGACTTTAAAAGCCAGTATGTTAGTTCACAGAAATCAATCATTTTCATTGGGTTTACTTTCACTTACAGAAATGAGACTTTACCTGTTTCATTAAGATGCGAGTTCTTGTATTTTTCAGATTAGTCATTTAAAAACACCTCTGGAGATGCTGCAAGAAATTAATAAAAATACTTTGGGACCACTTTTACCTATAGATGTGATTTCAAATGTTGAAGCACTATCTTACTCAATGCTGAATACAATGCATTATGCTGTTTCTGACAACGAAGCACGTCATAATACAACTATTAACGTGAGTGGATCAAGCCTTAAAGTTGTGGGGCTTCTTCTTATTTTGCAAATAGCGTATGACTCTTCTGCTTAAAAATATTCTTTTATTTACAGGTTTTGGTTAACACTGTGAACAATTTTTTACAAAATGACAAGATTACAGTCTGGGAAGCTCTTCCTATAGATGACCAAAGACGGAGCCTGACTAAGCTGCTGCATACTGCAGAACAAGTGACACTTCTCATGTCGCAGAACTTCAAAAAGACAACACAGCTAGATGTTAATGCAAGTGACATAGGTAGGATAAAGAAAATTAATCTAAGGTATACTTTAGATGTGGATTACACAGGAGTTTTTCAGCGCAATTATGAAGATTAGAAATGGTGTTATGTGAAACACACAGGTGTTAATTTGTATGAGTTTCATAACTAACACCTGACTTTCAGTGTAGGTATCATAATTTTCAAAGATTGAACGTTTGAGCCCAGAAAAAAACTTGAAAGGCTGTGGGAAGTTGTCCTTTCAGATTCTTTTCCAATCTCTTGTTATAGTCACACTGTCACAATGAATCTGGATTCATCTTAATAGCACGAATAATGCTATGCATTTTATATGCATAAAAAACACCAGGGGAACGAAATTTGGATTTGCTATATACAGACTTTTTACTCTTTTTGGTTCAGTGAAGGTATTACAAATGAACTTGGAATAAGGATTGTACCCAGTGTGTCAAATCTTGCATTTATTTTCAGAGAAATTTCTCATTTTCGGAGGAAATTCAGAGGAGGAGAATTGATTAGTCTCAATTGCACCATATTGCTCTCCTACCTTCTCCCTGCATGCTGGTGTGTTTACACCAGCTCCTACTGATTTTCCTGTGGTAATAATAGTTTTACCATTCCTTCAGTAGGAGCAGAGTAAGGCTAATATCAGCTGCTTTTGAAAATCCTACTCTAATAAAGCGTTGCTGATTCCTTTGGCAATGGCCACTTTTTCATTTTTATTTTTCTGAATGTGCCCAAACTGTATGTGACCTGATTTCTTATTTTAAATTCAGTACAGTCCTTCAGTGCCTCTTACTGGTTTGCTCTTTTATGAGATCACTTGATGAGAAAGATTCCTCCTTTGGTCAAACCACTTGTTCCTCCTCACCTTTCTGAAACTAAATTAGCAAGAACGATGAAAAATTAGAGAGGGACATGTTCCATGACATAAACTCTGCAGAAGCAGATTTATGTTAGTGCAGAAGACCTCTGGGTCTGCAGCAGATCCAGAGAGGTGACAGGAGATGGTCATAATGCTCCTGTTCCCCTGCCACCCTGGCTGAAAGCAGAGGCTCTCGTGGCCGCAGAGCTGAGGGCCGTGAAGGTTGAGAAGAGAGAGGATGTGGCTGCAGTCTCTGGTGGCAGGGTAGATGTCAGTCAGACCAAGGCAACAAAAAACATGAATGGGAAGGAATTTCCATGTCGATCATTTTTTAGCTTGCTTTTGTTCCAAAATGGGAAATGAGCTGTTTTCCAAATCGGCCCCAAACACTAAAATTTTCTGATATTGATTCTTAGCATGAATATATTTTCCACAGGGCTTATACATGCCCCACACATGTATTTTGAGACGAGACCCACAACGTTACCCCTCTCTCTCCACTACTTTTTATGGTGCAAGCTCTTGAGCTACAAGCTTTTCAAAACTCCAGCCACAGAAAACTATTTCTTACATCCTGACAAACGTTTTCTGACAGCTGGTCTATTGAATAGCTCATATTATTTTTGTGTGCTGTGCTATAAGCAATGCAGATGGTCTAGCTTAGCGATATTCCTCCATCAGTCAAGTTTTAGATTTATTTGTTGTTGTTTTGTTTTGGTTTTTTAAAAAAGGTCTGATTGACTTTTTTTCTCCCATCCTGGGTGATTGAAACTCAGCACTATAATGAACCAAGTAAAGAGCTCAATGTCCTCTAATGTAGTTTTTGTCCTGAGGGGTGATGTTTGTTTGTTTGCTTTTTGACAAGACATCATTATTTCATGGTGCAATGTGCATTTGGTAGCACGGATAGATAACTATAAAATATATACTTTTCAAAAATTGGCTTTTATCAAATGTTACTATTCAGTAGAGAATTTTATGTTTTGCTTTTTATAATTGTGATTTGTGGTCCCTTTCAGAAATGCATTTTTAATAAAGCAATAGCTCTTCCTAAAGTAACCTACATTATTCTTTCCAGTGCCTAATTTAATGCAAGGTAAATAAAAGACTATATTTTTCATTGAAATAGTAAAAAGTATGAGAGCAAAATCTATGCATGAAAATAACAAAACATAGAAGTTTAAGCAAACACTCCATATTAATAGCATTTTTCTTGAATTATTTGGCACAATTATATATTCTTAAAATTCACAGTAATTATACGATCTGATAGCACATTTATTAAATTATAGTAGACCATAATGGAGCTGTGATTTGTACAATATTTTTCTTCTTTTGCAGCACTCAAGGTGTTTGCTTTTGATTATCACCACATGAAACACATTCACCCTCATGTGTACACAGGGGGAGATTACATAAAGATCTCTCCAAAGAAGAGAGAGGAATCTCACCCTAACGGTAAGAAACAAAGGTTAGAGATTAGATGGATTAATAAACACCTTGAATAAACTTGTACCCACTAGTGAATAACCAAATGTGCAATTTACCAAGACTGAGCTTCAGCCTTACTAACTACAGAGAAGTCAAGGTATTTTTATCACCTTTTTTATCATTTTACCCGTTTGCCATCTCAAGGCTGAGATTTCTAACATTTTTAGTGGCACAGTGAATATCCACTGAGCTTTAACACTGGTCTTGGTACCAGCGACCTGAGTTTTATCCTTTTCTCAGCCATAGATCTGCTATGTGACCTTGGATTGGCCCCTTCAACTCTCTCTGTCACTTCTCCTCCAAAAATCAGTGCATCTTTTCTGTTTAGAGAGTAGCTCACTGGGGCAAGACCATGTATTCTTCAGTACCAAAACCAGCAGGGTCCAGATCTTGGCTTGGACCTCAGAGTGCTACAGAAATGGCTTACAATTACTGTCATCACTAAAAATAAAAAAATGTGTTTAAACAGCTCTGAAATTAAACCACCTAATCTAATAAACACAGAAAATATTTTTTAAGCCTTAATCTTCTAGCTAATCTGAATTTCACCACCTATCAGTACCTAAAAATATAGTTTCTCTTGGTAGGAGGGAGAAAAATCATGACTGCATATCAGATCAGCTCTGCATCCTAAAATACCTTTTGCTTTCTTTTTCTCTATGTGTCTTCTGTCCTGGCTTCACTGTAATGGAAGTCAAAGCAAGCCAGGTACTTCAGAGAGGCCCAGTACTTACCTCAGGTCTGAGCCATTTTAGTTTATGAGACCAGACATCACATGTGTACAGCAGCAAGCATATATTACTCTAGAAAGAAAAATATATGCATATATCTAATTAGAATTTCCAGTGCAAACACATTTTTATTCCTAATGGCAGTTACGTTGTTTTAAATAAAGCTATATTTCCTTGTCTCTAAAACATTTTTATAAGTATTCCACAAAGATTCCATCTGGTTTGCATATTTTATGCAATAGCAGTAATAATGTCGATTGTTTATTGTTTCCTTAATGTCTTCAATTTTGTTCTTCTATAAAAAAACCCACAAACTACTAAACACGGTCTGTTTGATTGATAGGCACCGTCGCAGTTGTCTTTCTGCGATATAGCAATATTGGTTCTTTGCTTTCATCGCCTAAAAACCGCTCCTCGAAAGATACTTCAGAGCAGAGACAGACAGTAAGCTCATCAGTTATAGCTGTTGCAATTAGCTCAAATCCACCTACACTCTATGAGCTCGAGAAAATAACATTTACCTTAAAGTATGCCAAGGTAAGGGGATTTTTTATTACCAACTTCAAATAAAACAGAAGAATAGCTAATCATTTTATGTGATGTAACCATATCTGCAGAATATGACATATTGAGACATAATTCTGTTGTTTGCTGATGTTTGTAATTTATTTTTCTAATAAGAGTCATCTCAAATGTGACATCCTAAGTGCAATATACTAAATATGATAGAGCTGAAAATTGCTACGAAACTAAGGAAAGGACAACAATGCCATCTTTGCTGGGTTGTAATATAAGTAAAATGTAGGTGCCTGAACCAGAGAATATTACGGGATCTTGACTATTCTGTATATAGATGGGTTTTTTTTCTGAACATTTATCAGATGATTAAACATGCACACTAAAAAAAGCGAAGAAATGCTTCAAAGTTAACGTAAGAAGGTAACATGGAGCTAGGAGGTAATAGCAGAACCTATAGTATTGCAGCTTTATTATTTCTGAAATCTGAACACATTTATTTAAAACTGAGAGTTTAACTTCTAGTATAGATAGATTTTACTGTCTTCTCTTGCATGTGAAGAATCACCTTAGAGGGCACAAAGAATTATCAGAAACATAACAAGAAAGTGACTCTGTAGGGAGGTGGGCAGTGGGACAAGGTATTAACCTTGGTTATGCAGCTTTTAAATTCGCTGCTTGCTTCTAATATTTGAGCTAAAGATCACCTTTATATAAATTTGTATGTATTTATACAGCCTCTAGTACATTAGGGACCTTATCTTTGACTAGTGTTAGCGAGCACTAACTTCAATAAATAATACTAATGGTCTTATTCATCGCTGCTGTCGCACCTGATATAGCAGGTGTGATATAACCCTGGCTTTGTCCCAGATTACTCTGCAAAATGCCTAGAATAAGTCTCAGTTTTTGAACGCTCATTTGGAAGGGACTATGAGCAGGACAAGCAATGTGGCTGTAATCTTGGGGTTCAGTCCATATTCAGCAGGTGCAGGCATATATAAAACAATGTTTTCAGGAGGTAAAAACTCCAACACCTTTGCAAATGACAGAAGGGTTCAGTAATCTGATTAGCCTGTATGTTCGGTGCGATGCTAGCTGTGTGGATAAATGCTTATATCCCTGGCCGTGCTTTAGTTGCCTGGAATAGGCCTTGCAAATTTTTTTTTGTTTGTTTTCCAACCTTCCGATGGTAACAAGCAATTTTTAATGAGTTGTGCTGGCTAACGTAAGAAAGGTCTCTTGACAGGAAATATCCTGCCTTTTGCCATGAGTAAAACATCTTGTTTCTGTTCCAGACTGCGGATAAAGATATTAAATGTGCGTTTTGGAACTACTCAGCAGACACAATGAATGGCAACTGGGCTACAGAAGGCTGTGAGCTGACACATTCCAACTCCACTCATATCTCATGCAAATGTAATCATCTGACTCATTTTGCCATTTTGATGTCCTCAGGTGACTCTGTTGTAAGTGCTATTTTAATTTAGTGTTTTACCTGATATTTTCTCCTGTCTTCATTCCTTATGCTTTCATTTCAGTGCAACTTACATATTGCTCCCCTTTTAGGTTGTCTCTTGGTTTTGTTCAGCAAACAGACAATTTATTGTGCATAGAGCAAACAAAATTCCTCCCATATGTGTCTGAATTTTCTTATGTTCTTTCTGCAGTATTATAGAGCAGTGATGCAGCAAGTATCTTGTTCCAAATACACAGTCTGTTGTGCTTATTTTTGGTGCATTGCTTTTAATTTTAAATCCCACTTTAAGACTGCTGTGGGATTTAACTGGCATTCATTGGTGGTCAGTAACCATATGGCCCAGAATTTCTCTCTCACAAAACTTTGCCACCCATTTGTCTAACCTCGGCATATGAAAATCTGCTTTAAATTCTCTCCTGAGAGTTTGCAGCAGCCTAATCAATTTGAAGTTTATGACTATTAAACATGGACACTCATGACCAGCACAGAATCGTGAGAACGACCACTCAGTTTATGTCCTTCTTATATTAAGAGGCCCCATAGATTTCCAGGGTCCATGTGGGGATCAGCAGGAGCTCAGGTCCTGCCTCAGGAGGCAGCTTTATAAGGTATCAGAACTGACAGCAAGCAGAATATTAGCATGAATATACGGTATTGAGACAGTTCTCTCACACTGTGAATTTCATGCTGATAGAGGCTGTTTCCTGGTTGCTAAATAGCATCCAAAGTCTTCAGTTCAGATTTAAAACCTTTGCAGGTACTTATATAGTTATTTTGAAAAGGAAGGCTGAGAAGAGAATAATCTCTGGTTTTCATTTAGAAAAAAAAAATACTTAGATACATTTTATGGCCAGCAGAATACTCTCCTTATGCTGATGCGCAGTCATGTATTTCAGAGATTCTTTGTGCAAATATCAAGCAGCAAATGTAACTGTGTTCCTATACAGAAAATATCCACATCCAATATTAAAACAGCCTGTGTTTTTTTGTAGAACGTTCATGTTACACATCTGGAATAGCATTTGTTTGAAGTGATTGTTATTTCAGAGTCTTGTTTTGATCATGTTGCAAAATCAGTAAGACAGTTATTCAATTTTGCTTATCTAAGTCACTGCTGTGATAAGTCCTTTTATATTAGAAAATGTTCATGTCATATTAATATATGTCCTACTGCCAGTGTATTTGTCATTCACTAAAACAATCTGATTTTTAAAATCATATTAGGAGATACTGATGTTAATAAAAAGTTTTGTTAAGAAATATCAGAAAATGCAAAAGCAGGAACGTAAACAGTGCATTACTAATTTCCCCTAGAATTATATCTCTCACAAAAAAACCCAATACTTTTTAGATTATCCGAAGTGTACATTTGCAGTGAAACTCTACAAACAGTTTTGATTAATATTTTGTAGAAAAGAAGAAAAGAACTGTATTATAGAACGAGGTCTTTCCTGAGAAGGTACAAAGCTATTCTTTTAAATATTATATTATAATTTTCCCCCAGGGTGTTACAAATTATAACATTCTTACAAGAATCACTCAGCTAGGAATAATTATTTCGTTGATTTGCCTCTCCATGTGCATTTTTACATTCTGGTTCTTCAGTGAAATTCAAAGCACTAGAACAACAATTCACAAAAACCTCTGCTGCAGCCTCTTCCTGGCGGAACTTATTTTTCTGATTGGAATTAATATGAACAATAATAAGGTGGGTAGTTTTCACTTGTGTCTTGATTTTGTGTTGTAAAGTAAATATACAGTATAAGATATAATCTTCTGTCTACCTCCAGTATTTCCTAGTATCGGTATGAATATTCTAGTGACACTGACTTCCTGGTCTAGTAACAGGAAATATAAAATCGTCATTTAAAGAAGTAGGTTCGTCATCTGAGACGGTGTATATTGACTTGGCTCCATGGGTTTCATTTAAACTTTGTCACCTTAACTGAGACCGTGGTTTCAATGTGATTAGCATTCTCACTTTTCACATCTGTTTGGATGCTATACAAAACCACATTGGTGCCTCTCTGGGTGACAATTTTCCCTAAAAGCCAAGCCAGAGCTGCAGCCCCAAGTTGCCATTTAAGACATTGTGCTGTTGGCTGGAGGACTTCTTTCCCTTCTACATGTGAGGTCTTGACCTGTCCCTGTTGCTTTTCGTACAAGTTGGGCTGCTGATTCTTACATCTCAGATTAGTTTTAGAAAACTAAATTATGCATAAACTGTCAAAAAAAAGCACCACCTACTATAAATAGCTGAATAGAATTTAAAATGTTTTGAAAAAATATGAGCTAGGATCCCTGAGGTAGCACTCCAGTACTGACTGATTGAGAAATATCATTTTACAAATACTTTATAGTAAAAAACTTGTTTCAGAAATAATTCCTTATGATGCCCAATTACATTTCTTTAAAAAAAAAAAAAACAACAAACTTCGTCTAGATCAAGAAAGCATATAAACTATTCAGCTGTAACTATGGGATCAACCTTGTCAATTTCTTTACGCAGCTTTTCGAGGAAGATATGCACCAACTTTAAAAGTTGAGTGCAGTCCCTTTATTTTACCAGTTGCTACAGAAAACACTAATGAACAAGCGTGCTTGTGGGTATAGGCCAAGTTGTTGTCAATCAGCATTACATCTCTGCTGCTGAACTACCACTTTAGAGTTACTAGATTGCTGTGCACATGCTGTTGTGTTAACAGAGACTTATTAATAAAATTATGACTCTTGCTTTCTCTGATTGAATTTCTAGCTCTTCTGTTCAATTACTGCTGGATTACTCCATTATTTCCTTCTAGCTGCCTTTGCGTGGATGTGCATTGAAGGCATTCACCTCTACCTTATAGTTGTGGGAGTCATCTACAACAAGGGTTTCTTGCACAAGAATTTCTATGTCTTTGGCTATGTCAGTCCAGCCGTGGTCGTTGGAATCTCCGCCGCGCTGGGATACAAGTACTATGGCACCACAGAAGTGTAAGTCACTGTTTCCGTGTCCAAATCAACATACGTAAGGACGCAATAGTCACAATTGCACATTTCAAGGCATTTTCTGCTGTTTACTTTTCAGATGTTGGCTCAGCACAAAGAATAACTTTATATGGAGTTTTATAGGACCAGCATGTCTAATAATTCTTGTAAGTATAATTTCCATTTTTTATTTTAGTACATAAAACTGATAATAAAAGTTGTTTAATAATCACCCACCTATTTCCAGCATAGCTGAGAGTGCTAATTATAGGGTAGAATAGGCTAATTTAGACCTTTTTATAGTGTCTCTAAATTATTTATATGCTGTACATCTAAATACTTTACTAGCCTGAAAAATGAACATTTGACAAAAAAAAGCTCAATATAAGACCTGTTTTTCTTACCTACTTTCTTTTAACCCAACGGTTTGAGAAATTCTGTGAAGCATTTCTGTTTTTTAAAAGGTAACGTCTTTGTATGTCGCTGGCATCTCAGCATGGCTCAGCAGGAGGTGTACACAGACACTACCCTAGCAGACAGATAATCTGGTTTTTCAAATGTTGTGTGACTTAATCTCTTATCAGTGATCGGTCATCTTTGTAAGATTAGACTGTCATCTTTATGGTTTTATCACTCGCGTGTACCCTGTCATCATCAAAGCTATTTTAAACTAAATTGCGACGTCAGAGAAAAGAACCCGCTATTTCACATGGGCAGACAAGTCAGGTATTGATAGCCCTATTTCAACTGTGAAGAGGGCCTTTTTAATTCTTATTGGAAGTGGTTTCAAACCTGCGAATTTGGCAGATGTTATATGTTCCATTTTGAATAGAGATATTTTTGGTGCCTTGGGAGCATTTCTAAGTGCTATAAAGTTTAACAAACGATTCCAACTGTAATGGGGCATTATTGTATATGACTGGCTTGACAGTGATCTGGCAATAGCTGGAGCTAACGGGAGGAGAAGGTACAATGGTGAGGCCTCAAGACGTCTTATGGTCAAGTCAGTTATAACCCTTTGTTGCTTTTTAAGCTATTTGGTGATACATGTGAGGATTCGTAAAAAGCAAGAAGCGGCAGTGCCTAACACACACAAGACGATAGTAAAACAGTTTTATTTCAATGCATTAGCCATTTCAAAGCTGAATAAAGTATCAGGTATGAGTCTGGTCAAGTTCCACCCTAGATTCCTACTGTAGATTGGGGATAGGCTGGGAGTAACCTGCCAGATGCACCTGCAGGGTGATGCCTTCCCATCTCACCCTCTTGGTGAGCACAGCAGACTTTGAGAGAGGCAAAGCACCCTAACCTCCCTTGGCCCAGTGCCTCTGGGCTTAGATAGCCCTGACAGCCAACAGGTTACTAGAGTAAAACAAAATCATGGGAAGAGACCATCCTTTACTTGGAAATTCTTACAATTCTTAGGTTTAAGTTGACAATTTCCTGTTTCCTCTCTGGACCTTATCTCTTTCTTCCATGAAGGCAGCAGCACTGGGATTTTGTTGTTGTTGCTCTCATTCTTGTTCCTCATCTGCCTTCAGGTGAAGATGTATGGGCAGTGATGTATCACTGCACTGTTAGCACAGGAAAACTGTGTTATCAAAATACACAAAATCCCCAAAATTTATGCATCTGTAACTTTGTTTCTACCTCCAGCTGAGCTATGCCTGATGCAGGATCTCAGGTACACAGTACAGAGGCAGAGCAGATCTGCAGTGGCTTTGATATAAGTTTAGCTGGCTGCAGAGGCAAACACCGCAAGCTGGGCTCTGAGGTCTGTAGCTGTTCTTTGAGCACTCCAGATCTTTCAGCAATCCCTGTGAATTAATAGAAAAAAGAGGAGGTGGTAGAAGTTGTCACGGGCCTTACGCACCAATGCAGTCCTCCTGTGGATGAGGATAGCAGCCAGTCTGTCTCTTTTTTTTTCTCCCACTCCTTTGCTTAAGTGAAGCCGCACAAAGGAGCTGCAGCTGAACAGCAAATTACCCTGTGCTTGTTTTGTTTTTTTTTTTGTGTTATGGAAGTATTTTGTCATAACTTGTTTTCATGGTATTTGCATACCTTTATTATTGTCTCTTCATAATCATGCACTACTAGACCTGGGAGGAAAGGCAACCCGCTTTCAGCAAGATGCTTCATCTGCTGTGCAATTTTTTTGGGTACTTGGACAGCTTGTTTTGATGGGGTAATAGCAAATTGAAGCCTGAACTACAAAAGGGATGTTTTTAAAGAGTTCAGGGAGCTAGGTAATTTGCTCATGCTCTGTCCAGATTATTTTCTAAGGAAAATATGGAAATCCTTATGAAAAAGGCACTGACTCTAGAAGACGAAGTTGGTGTTAGATGTCTGCTCTGTGGAAGGCACACTGGTGCTGATGATTCTGTTTCCATTGTCCAAGCTTCCTGCTGAGCATCTTGTATGGGCATCACCATCACAAAAATTAAACTCTTTCCTATGTAGGGCCGCTCAGGAATTTCTTTTAATTACAGAAGCTGATCTCTTTCCAAGATTTCCATTCTTCTCACAGCTAATTAAAGAAAAAAAAATATTCAGGACTCTGAAAAGGAAATGTTATTTTTGTTCTGAGATAACCAGATAGAGCACTGCAAACCTCATATAGAAAACTGCAAAATCTCACAGCTTCAAGTTTACCTTTAATCCTGAGCTTCACCTACTATTTGAGTATTGATTTTGAAGGTTTTCCAAGATAGCCTGGAAAGTTTGGATATCAAATCTCTGCAAAGCCACTCGTCACAAATCTGATTCTTGCACAAAAACATTAAACTCATTGTCAGCACAAATGCCCGTATACCCAAATGGTGCTTTCAGTTTCTGTGCATGGGGACCCAGGAGATTTGTGTGGTTTAGATTATACTGTAATATGCCTTTGAGACAGCATGTAAACACTGAATAATAGAAATGGTTCTGTACCAGTGGATTTTCTGTCTTAGGGAACATTGTTTCAAACACATCCTTGGACTTGAAATCTGCAGTAATAGTGAAGCATAGGAGTTTATCAGGAGTGAAAACTAAGTTCTCCTCTGATTGCCTAAGCAGTAACACTATCTGAAGGTGTTTGCGTGTTAATATTAAGGCTCTATTAGAATTCTTAAGTGCAAAGCAATGGTCTTATTGATGCCATCTAAAAATTATTATTATTGTTATTAGATTGGTGACTGTACATGAAAAGGAGTGGGTCAGAACAGCTTTAGATGGAGTTAGCGAAGAAAGAGCATTTTAAACCTTTGTAGAGCAACCTGCAGGCTGAAGATAATTTCTACAACTTATTTCTTCCTCCTAATACTTGTAATCTTTAGAACCACAACCATTTTAGCTAAAACTATGCAGTAGATTAGATCAAAGCATACAAGTATGGAGAAATTATTTATAACAAGTATTTAAACTTTTTAATAGAAATGTGAGTTTATCACAAGCTTTAAGGGACAAACATTCACATGTACCACAACCCATGCCTGATTGAGGCAAATGCAAATATGAGCTCAAGAGATAAAAGTTACAAAAAAAAAATATTTCTAGAACATTTTCTTTTCTTTTGTAATACACTCTTACAATAACAATGTCCCTGTAATAAGAAGTGTGTAGAATGGAAATAACAGTTTGTCTGGAGAGTAATGTGGCTGCAGTTTTGATTAGCATGTAATGTCAGCCAAGAACACACTTCTTCACGTTGTGGAGGACTTCTACGTAGCTTTTCCCGACTCTGCCATGACAGCTCGCTCTGTGTTGAGTGAAAGCAGAACTGTGTAAGGGCTTTATTCTGCATCACTGACATTTTTGGAAACCCCATATTTTAAACTCTGTGGACACAGAGTAAGTCCCTCCACTCGTACCTATTGTGAAGGACAGCTTTAAATCAGCTGTCCAACTGGCAGTGGAAATGACATCGTTTTGAAGGGTTGGGCAAAGACTGTTAATGCTGTGCTTATGAAAGTCTACAAGCCATTAAAAGGAAAATTTGGAAGAGAATCACTGCTACTCCAAGTGCAGCTATAGGCAACCCTTCTAATATACTTCTCTCCCACAACCTTCTCCCATTAAACCCATTCAGCTGAGCTTCATGCAGCAAGTTCAAAGTCATCCCTGATAACATGATTTGCACCTTCGCAGTATTGAGAGTCATGAAGGCTTGACTATTGTACCCACTGTCACTGACACAATAAATTGGCATAGCTCTGTGAGGAACCAGGACTCAGAAGTGTGACATGTTGTAACATTAAAAGGGGCAATTTGCCGTTTAAAGGTATCAGTCTATCAGTATCATTTGTAGAGACCACCTCCGTAATAATAAAATACAGACTTGCTCTTTGAGGTTGGAACATTTCCAAAATTGAACATCATCCAAATAATCTTCTCTGTGGCTTTTATCCAAACATCCTAGCTCTGTGCCGCAAGGAGGTGGCTCCTGTACACTCTTCCTTGTTTTACTCCTCTAATATGTGTTTTCAGGGACCTTGAAGGTGTCTGGCTTGGCTTCAAGCTCCAGTTTCTAGAAACAATTGGTAATTGTAGTGTTTGCAACTACAAAATTGGCTTATAAATGGACCCTGCAATTTGCAGAGCGTTCTTGTAAACTTGACTTGGAACACACAAGCCAAAAATAGTTCTTCAGAGAGATGTCCTCAGAAAAGCCAAGTTCTTTTTATTAAGCATTCTTGTATGTAATAAATGCAATGAATAATCAACTATAAAGCAAAAATATTCTAAGAACTGCAATGATTGATTAGCCATACTGTTTTGAACTTCCCATGTGTAAATGAATGGGTAAATGAATAAAATATACAGATTGCAGTTGCAAAATACAAAAAAGTGACATATGAGTGATGAAAGCAGGCTAACAGTAAAGTAATGCTTTTCATTAAGGAACTGCCTGCATATTCATTAGAGCTAGTCGATTACTTAAAAAATATATTCATCAGATAATTTATTTGATGAATTTTACCATTATTTGTCAAATAATTTATTCAACAAAAAAAGGTAAAATTAATGGAATAGTGCATTCATCAAATCTTATTGGACACCTCTAATACTTATTCAGTTCTGTACATTTAGGTTGATTCAGGATTAGTAACACTGCTGCAATCAATGCAGAAAAATTTCCTGGCAAATCCATTACCCTGCTATTTTCTCATATACTCACAAATTTCAT